TAGATACAATTACTGAGCCTAAACTCCTCATTCAATGACTACTATTCATATTACAGTCGCACCCGTTAGTACGAAACTGAGGATGCGTCAAAGAAAAATAATCGTATAAGCGGTTCCGTATATTATATTAGCCTTAATTTGAGAGAAAAAACAATAGATTAGAAGCGTGTGTACAAAGTGTTTTATATAGAAATGAATTATACCGGGACAGAAAATTTTATGTTAGAACAGGATCCTTGTATTATTGTCTTTCGAAATATTTTACTAGAGATACTAGAATCGGGCCGGATTTAAGAAATCATCGTATAGTCTCATCAGCGTAACGAGCGAATATGGCCGCCGGAGGCGGCCATTTTGCGAGTGATGTATGAGTACCTATTCACGACAACGACCTTTGTGCACAATCATGAGAAGACATCTCTTCTAACATAACCTTTCCTTTTTCCATGTTTGCCCTGTCCCTGTTTTGTCTCAGCTTCGTTATGTTCTGTCATTCTCAACAGGCTGTATAATAATCAAACATCCGATTACATTTAGAAAACATGAATTGCTTATTATTGGCTATTTATGTAATACAATTTGGAATGACGATGTTTAGACTAAATATACAAGTTGAAATGCTCATAAAGCAAGATTCCATTTTCAGGCCAATAATAAAATTTCGTAAAACAAGCTAGATCGATAGATTCTGTTTTCATTGGCTTTTAATTATGGACAGGAAAGCCTAAGCGCACAGACCCGTATAATTTTTATGTAATTATGCATTTGCCTTTAATTATTATTAACCAACAGTAATATTGCCAAGAGACAAGTTTCAAATCTATACTATACTGCTGTACATTATGTAGGCTGGTGTGGACTGCCTTAAATTCATTTAATGTTCCCATTTCTGAATTGTTAGATGGTGGTACGTAGTCCATGAAACGTCTTGAGCTGACGTTAGACGGGTTCGCGGCCCCACTGCTCTCGTGCGGTCGTGCCGTCTAGCATAGCGAGCTTCTGAGTGGTGCTGGCGGTGGGGACCAGTCTAAAGCCCACGTGTGATGTGGTTATCGCGTCCTCGTGTTGCTAACAGCAAGTAAACGCCGCATAGGCACACACACACACGCGCGCACGCACACACACGCATATGCACACGGCGCGCGCACACGCAAAGGCGCACGCACACACACACGCTCCTGCGACGGAGCGAAGGGCTATAGTACCAGTACGGCAGTTGTCAGTACGTACGTACGTACGTATGTCGTATTACGAGAGCCGAACCCCTCTAATAACTTTAAGATGAAGATGAAAATAACACATTTACACAAAGAATTGCAATTATAGTGATATTATATGTTATATTAATGAGTAAAATGTGTGTTTTTCATGGAATATACATCAGAAAAACGCACTTATCTACCGATCATAAACCAAAACAACTGGCGTTTGTTCTCTTGTTGACTCCCACTAAGGGGAAGTGACGTCACTCCGCCCCACCAATATCCGTAGCCATCTCGGCCACCGCGAGATTCATCGCAAATGAATTTGGAATGAAAATGAAAATGAATTTGAAATGAAAATGAAAATGAAAATGAATTTGAAATGAAAATGAAAATGAAAATGAAAATGAAAATGAATTTGAAATGAAAATGAAAATGAAAATGAAAATGGGTTAAGCATTTGCCCCCAACTGTAATGAAAAGTTGTTTGGCTCATGGACTATAGGCGCTGTGAGTATGTATATATGTATGTATGTATATTTAGATAATATATTATTATATCATTAGTATATCACATACAAAATGAACGTATACATACAATACTAAACTTACATAGCGATAGGCCCTACTTATACGTAATATCAAGTATTACTAGGTATATAGGTATCAATTATAGGTATTATTAGCTCTTGGTAATATGAGTATATATTATATACCACGCAAATAAAGATCAAAATTCACACGCATGCGCAATGTGCGTACACGACACGCCCCTGCCCGCGCCCAATGTAGAAACATTTTTGGGGAGACGGGAGCCTTTCCTACAGAAAAAAGAGAATGTATACCATGCAACATCCCCCAACCGACCCGCCCACTCACCACCGCCGTGACGTCATAGCGTCATGGCAACGACGAAGGCGTCGCTGTAGCGTAGCGGCATGCTCCGTACATCGTCGCCAGCTCGTTGAGCCAGCGCTGCGCGGATTCGAGTGCCTCCCTTGGT